TTTAAGGTATGGGGAGTATTGCCTTCATTGTTTTCAATGTGTAATTTCAATGTATTTAAGGCTGATTTAAGGGTTTAAAGGGTTTGAGGTTGATTATGGGATAAGGGGAATTTGGCCTTCCTGACCTAAATCTATTATTGAGATTTTAACCGTAGGGATTTATTTGGGTTAAAGAAAATTAGACCTTCATGGTCAAAGCTCTGATTTGACATTTGTCTAAACCTGTAGGGAAATTTGATAGTGAGAAACTCTGATGACTGTGGGGTGGGGTAGTTGTAAGGAGATTATGGGAATTAGAGGTGTAAATATGATACGAGATTGAACTTATATCCCTTAATTTTAAAGGTTTTAGGCATAATCTTAAAACAATGATTAGATGATTTAATTGTGTTAAAATTGTAAATTTACTTGAGATAATTACAGTGTTGAATGGGTTGTAATTTTTTGGGAGTTTGGGTTTTTTATGGAATCGAAATCGGAGGTTCGGAAGGCTTCCAACAGTGAAAAACGCAGAAAATTCTGCATGCTGTCCGTCACGACTGTTCATATTTTCGGTCGAAATCGTTTTAGACGTAACTTTTGATCCGTAAGTCCGTTTTAGTCCCCGTTTGAAGCTTTGGAAAGCTAATGAACATAGCTATAACATGGTATAGATAAGGGAATTGATTTCCCAATATTTTTATATCTAATATGTTTGGGAAGTCAATTATGTTCTGGTTCAGTAATGTCTTGATGCTTTGATGCTGTGATTTTCTAGGTGAATCACCATGAGTGTAACTGTGATTCCTATATGATTAAATGAATGTACGATGAATTACCATGAGTATAACTGTGATTTATATGTGATTAATACATGATTGCATGATAAATTCCCATGAGGAACTGTGATGATTTGTGATGTTGATTCAATGAGTTTTGATGATTCTATGATGACATGATTTTTGATGATGATGGTTATGATGAATGATGATGCACCTATGATATTATTATGAGTATGATTATTGACGTGCGAATCATGCATTCATGTGCATCCGGACTTCGGTTCAGGACCTTGATTTCTTTGACTTCAATCCTATTGTGCGGATGTGAGGTATTTTGATGTGCTCCGGTTCTCGACTAGAATCGATCCTATTGATGGGGATCTATGGAGGATTGATGACCCAGTGTCCATCGAGCTGTGATGATTGGTACCACATGCATTGAGTCTTGTTACATTTGCATTTATGAGATGATCTTGAGGAAATTATGATGTTGTGACCTTTGATGTTACTTGATGAATATGATGATGTTGAATATGAAAATGACGCCATTTTATATGTTGATTTCCTATATTGATTATTATGAATCCTTTTACTCACTCTACCTGTTTGAATGTTGCCTCCACATGGGTAACGTGCACATGATCAGGTTTAGTCGTGGATGTCGTCGAGGGCTTTTGAAGTTTTGGATCGTTGGCCATGGTGGTTGGCTTAGAGGGTCATGCTCTGATAGTGTAACATCGAGTTGGGGTCTTTGAGTCAAACCTTATTTATTTGATTTGGTTATTTTGATTATGTTTTCGTATAAGGAAAACTTTGGATTATGCCTTTTGAGTTCCGCTGCAATTTTTGATATCTTTTGAGAAAACCCGTCGTTTACGGAGCTTTGACTTATATTTGATTTATTGGAAAATGTACGCCCTTTGAGGTGATTTTTATTGAGTTTAATATTTTACTCTGATATATGTGAATATTTTGCCATTTAATTGTGGGGTAGAAAAGAATGTTACAGCGATCATTAAGTTGTTGATGATTGTTGTAAAAATGTCCTTTGAATTTGTTTGATTCAAAGTCCATCATAGTTGTTGGTGTTGTTGGAAATCAAGGAAGTAATATGCTTTATTGTTGTTGTTAGAAGATTGTAGGAGAAGTCTTGGTGTGAGGCTTATACGAAGATCTGACAATAGTAAAATCTCTCACGGGGTGTGAAGGGACTGAAGTACTCTTGTTTACAAAGAGGAACCAGGGTACATCTTTGAGTCATTTACTTTTCTACACTTTTATTTTCTGCATAACTTTATTCTAATCAAGTTGCAACACTTAACTTGTTTCTAGAAAAGTAAAAAAGAAAAGTAACTTGCATAAAAACTAGAAAAATATAGCAAGTCTATTAACCTCTTACTTAGATTGCACACTCTAAATACTTACACTAGCTATTCAAAACGAAAAATAATAAAGAGGTGAAAACCATGGTTTCTATATTTCAAACGTCAATATTTGATATTGAGATTTTAGGTAGAAGTTACAGTACCTTGATCATGTGAAGAAACCTCTAAGAAGTCTGCCAAAGAAATGGAGACCAAAAGATAACTATCATTCAAGAGGCAAATGACTTAAATGTCGTATCTTTTGACGATCTCATTATCTACCTCTGAAGTCAAGAGATAAAAAAAAAATATGAACTCCAATGGAAGCCAAAATATATTTCCTTGAAGTCTAAATGCAAGAAGGTTGAGGCTAAAGTTATAGAATGTGAAGAAAATGATGATGAATATTTCGAGGGACTAAATTAAATGTCTGAAGATGATGAAATTTTCATTTTCTCTAAAAATTTTGATGTCTATAAAGCAGAAGGAAGAAGTAATTCCTCAATAAGAAATTACATTATTCAATTGACAAAACATATAAGAAAAAAGTTGTCAAGAAGGTTATTTACCATGAGTGAAATGAACCTTGAACCTTTAAAGATGTATGTCCTAAGATGGAGAAAGAAAGATCCAAGAAAAATGGATGTAGTGGAAAGGAGAAAGGTTTCATGACTAAATGTGATGTCTATCACTAATCCTATGATAAATATGAGGAACATGCAAATGTTTCTATAATGGCTACAACATCCTCTAGCGTGTATTGGATGACACAACATATAATTATGAAGATGAAATATTTTATAATTTATCTCGTGATGAGCTTGTTATTACTTTAAGTAATATGGAGAAAGAAAGATCCATGAAAAATGAATGTAACAAAAAGAAGAAAGGTGTCATGGCTAAATGGGATGTCTATGACCAATCCTCTGACGAAGATGAAGAACATGCAAATGTTTCTATAATGGCTACAACATCCTCTAGTGTGTATTGAATGACACAACATATAAATATGAAGTTGAGGTATTTTATAATTGGTCTTGTGATAAACTTGGTACTACTTTAAGTCAATTACTTTATAAGACTCAGAGAATGTTTGACATATACAAAAGGTCTGAAAAACATATATGATAGGTTTAGAACATCACAGAACTTTGGATCAAGAGATTGATGTTTTGAAAATTGAAAATGTTTCTTTGAAATCACAAACATGTCAATCTTCAAGAACAAGTGATGTAAATCTCAAAACTACGAAGTTTCTTTTCAAGAATTACTTACTAATCGATGATCTATGATGTACTTGAGAAAAATAAGAAAGGTTTAGGATTTGTGATTTTAATGTACTATGTTCTTACTGTTTGAAAGAAGGCCATAACAAAATGACTTGACCTATTTTTAAAATATAAAAAGACAAGAAACTTCTCATAACTAACTAAAAAGGGCTCAAAAATATCAGGATAAAATTGTTTATATTTTAGGATTATTTAGCAATAAAGTTTAAACACGTGTAATATAAACAAACACACTGCTAGTAAATAGGCAATGGATGCTCGCAAAATATGAAGGGAAAAAAACTTATGTTACAAACAGTGGCGGAGCCAGGACCTCGAGCCAGGGGTGCAAGATGTTTTATTAATATTTCGATGAAGTATAATTTTTTTTTTAATTCATTAATGCTTGTATGTATGTGAGAGAAATTTTTTAAATCAACGAGTGTATATTAACAATTTACCACTTAAAATATGCGTAGTTGTAATTGAGTTAAATTTCTTACTCGATTATATCCAATTTATACACACAATAAATTTTAATAATATTTAAAAAAATTTAGAGTTATAATTTATACATTAAAAAGTAAAAACTTATGTTACAAACAGTGGCAGATTCAGAACCTCGAGCCAGGGTGCAAGATGTTTTATTAATATTTTGATGAAGTATAATTTTTTTTAATTCATTAATGCTTGTATGCGTGTGAGAGAAATTTTTTAAATTACATTATTTATTTTTTTCAACGAGTGTAAATTAACAATTTACCACTTAAAATATGCGTAGTTGTAATTTGTTAAATCTCTTATCGGATTATATCACATTTATACACACAAAATCAATTTTAATAATATTTTAATAATTTTAGAGTTATAATTTATACATTAAAAATAAAAATAAATCTCACAAACTTATATACTATGTAAATTATATATAATAGAGTATTAAGAATGACATTCATTTTAAGAGAACTAAAAATGACAACAATTACTTGAGCTTTCGCATTCCTTAAACTTTTATAATTTAAAATAAATGTTTTAAAAAAATCAAGAAATATGTAATAAATATTAAATATAATTAAATGGCACTGACATATGACAAAAACAAATTTTAAGTACTTATATATGATAGAAGCTAGTCAAAGCTAGGTATTTTTTTTTACCAAACGCATTGAAATAAAATAGTGGGTGCAAAGTAGAAATTACACATATATTTAAAGGTAATCATTGTGTCTACAACTTAACCACAACAAAATGAAACAATGAAACAACTATGAACTATCCTTTATTTTTTTTAAGCAACCGACCACAATAACCAAATTTAAGATCCACTGCTGCATATTAGTTTATTTGGTAATAGAGAAATAGTTTATCTATTTTGCGCATGGTTGGAATCTATGGGTGTAAGGAAAACATAATTTAGTTAGAATCAAACTTGAGTGTATTAGGTTACACAAAGTTTACAATTGGAATACAAACATTTAAACAAAAGTACAACGGCAGCTCAACTTAGCAATTGAGCATTGAACATTGCATACATATTCAAAATGGTACAGAAAGAAATAATAAAAGTTGTTATTGAAACTAGAAATTCATTTTTAACTTAGCTATTATCATTTGCATTTGGGAAGGGGTGAGCCACACAAACACTTGTTGTGATAAAAAGCAAACACACCGAACCTTTGCAAATCCCCACCCTGCGGTATCTCACCACACAACAAATTATAACTCACATCAAACCGCTCCAAAGCATTCCTTTTGTTTAATACCTGTGGAATCTTCCCATAAATGTAATTATGATCCAGATGCAAATATGTCAAACTCTTTGGAAGATCCACTTTTGAAAAATCAAACGACAACAAGTTCCTCGAAAGGTCAATGAGCTGTGTTCTTTTCTTCCCGAAAAGCATAGAAGCATCGCCTTCAAGCTTGTTTGCCGATAAGTGTATCGTCTCCGGATCTATTTGTCCCAACGAAGCAGGAATATGTCCAGAAAGACGGTTGTTTGATAGATAGATATCTGGCCCGGGTTTCTTGAACGAACCAAATGAGCTTGGAATTTGGCCGGTAAGCTTGTTATTGTGCAAGCGTAACGACTGGATCTTAGGCAACTGAGAAAGTGAACTTGGTATGGTGCCGGTGAGACTGTTAAAGGATAGATCAAGAAGTTCGAGGTTTTGAAATTGGCTCACAAAAGACGGGATTGTGCCTGAGACACCAGTGGAAGAAATGACAAGATACTTGAGATGTTTGAGGTTGGAGATAACGGGGTTGATTGTGCCGGTGAGTTTGGGAAAATTGCTGAATTCGAGGTGCTCGAGATAAGGGAGTTGTGCAACTGAAGAAGGTATATGACCTACGATATCATTGCCTGGTTCGTCAAATTTCATAACAAGGCCAGTGACACGGTTGGTTGTGGGGTGGCACTCGACCCAAACCCAGATACAACAATCTGTTTTTGGATCCCATAAGTTTTGAAGAGTTTTAGAGGTGTTGAACTCCTTCTTGATTTGGAGCAATGCTTTCTTGTCTTGTGGGTTGCATTGCTCTGAGGTTGCAAATGGAGAGAGTAGCAGTAGTGAGAGGAAACACAACACAAGAGATTCAGCAAACATGGTTATGGTTTTGATATTTTGGTGGGATTACAATGTTTGTTAATTGATATATATTTATAGAATGTAATGAGAAACATGCATAATAAATATAACGTGCTCAAGTAATGGCAGCAGCTGATTACTACTGTTTGTATATATTTTATTACATGCATGCAACTTGCATGTAATAAAATAGTATTATCTTTCTGTATAGATGATTCCTCACGAGGTGTTCAACTTTAATTATTGCGTGTAGCTGTGCCACTTTTCTTTTACTTAGCTGTATCAGAGTGAACTGTTTCTTTGGATTTTGATTATAAATAATTAACTATATTTATTATAAAAACATGTCAAAAAAAAAATGCTTCAACTTGATTTTTTAAATATGAAAAAAACTTTCCTTTAGTGCGCCACCCACCTTCCAGTCTTTTGAACACTTTATAGATTTTTGAAGACTATATATATATATATATATATATATATATGATTAATTTTTGATAGGTTTTAGAAAAGTATTTCGCTCCTTCTCGACTCAAACTTGATTGATTATGCACATGTCTATTTTTTTAAACTTTTAAAAAAGTATTTTGTCCCAATATGGCTTATGCTAGAGGGATTGTAATTATATACATGTCCATTTTTTTTGGTAGGTTTTAGAAAAATATTTTGCTCATACGTGACTCATGTTTGAAAGACTGTACATATTCAATTTCTTATACCAAGTCATCAAGAGTGGATTAGGTTACAGCTTGAACCCAATAAAATTTGTCCTAGTGAATAAATCTTACAACAAAACATAGTCGGGATGAGGCAACTAATGGGTTAGAAGGGCATTATGACCGAGATACAAGGAATAATGCAATTAAGGCTTATTGAGAGCATTATGGTATGAGATTTGACAATCAAGCATGTCAATTACCATTAATTAAAGATCACAATGAACGAGAACAATCACATTAAATAGCCTTTAATAGACCTTAGGTATAAGATGAGTCAAAATTACTATATAAGAAGATGATCCAATTGAATAGCCTTTAATAGAACTTAGATACAAGATGAGTCAAAATTACTATATAAGAGGATGATCCAAAGGAAAAAATGATATACGTAATTCAAAGAATAACCATCACTATTCACTCGAGTTATCATTAATCTGAATATAATATAGAAAACAAAAAATAAAGAAAATAAAATAAAAACAAAAATAACAAAAGTTTTTTTTACTAGAAGTGTCAAATCAATAATCGATTTTGAATTTATCTCTCATTTTTCTCTTATCTTATTCTCTTTTTTTTATAAAATTTATCGCTCTTGATTAACTTTATTTTGAAAAGGACAAATACAAATTTTTGAAAGAAAAAAAATAAATCCACTAAAATACACAATATGTGCTCAAAGAAATTTCAAAATATATGTTTAATGAGTTTGCAATGAAAAGAAAACGGAATCAAGTAATAAAATTACATAATATAATATTCAATATTGGCGGCGACGTTAGACCACCAAGAACCTAATTCGTTAAACACTCTAGATTTTTTGCTTTTACCCACGATCATAAAAGAATTTTGACCTTATTTACCATCTAGATGACTTGAAAGCACTTACGACCCTCCTTGCTGAAAGAGACAAAATTGAAAGGCATGAGCATTGATACCATCAGGTTGAACATTGAGAAACTTCAGACACTGTAAGACACAACTCCAAATCTGACTGAAAAATTCACCATCAAAGAAAAAATATTGGAGGCTCTCATTTTTATAGTAGCCACCTATACATCCTAACAAGCCGGAAGGCATTATTCTATGTTGCTCATAATTTTCTTTAGTATAGATTATATTCTTAATCATTTTTCAGTAGTGTGACTTTGTTCCATAGAAGTTCCTAAGCCAGTTCAGGATTGATCTCTTCTTCTTGAATCAAAACGTGATATCCACCTTTTAATGAATAACCATCATCTTGATCAAGGGTCCACTCCCGATAATTAACAATATTTTCCTGCAAAATAATATTATTCAATAAAGAACTGCGTTATAACTCCCAACCTGAGTTACTTATCCTCCCAAGTGAAAAGTTTCACCTGTCATCTCCAACCTCAACCCTTTGACTCCCAACTTAAACCTCTCACCTCCATAATGGAAATTGTTCTATTAGAAGTTGAATGGAGGTGGTGGTGGATCGTATCCTTCTATGCAGTGGAATGAGGGATCTGCAAGATTAATACCCCAACACTCAAGTCAATATATGAAGAAAAGAGTAAAATGAAATTGTATTTGAAACATGTTACCTCGATTTGGTGATATGTATGTGTGTGTGTGTGTGTGTGTGTGTGTGTGCGTGTGTGCGTATGTGTATGTGTGTGTGTGCGCGCGTGCGTGTTTGTGAGTGAAAATAACGGACTAGCTATTTGCTCTCCATCTTTTGTGAATGACCTTTGAATGTGGTTTACGGTTGAGATCTTTTGGGACCCTAAAAGTAACCATCTTCGCTGATTATGAAGATTCTGGATGGAGTAGATCCTTTATTAGATTGTAGGACAAGTCAGTATGGTCAAACTAGGTCATTCGGGGTCTTTCTGTTCAGTTCATAACAATTGCCCCCTAAGCCCTTGCCGAGACATAGATAGGCGGGGGCTTGATATTACAGCTTCAGAGGCCGACCATCCCCTGGTTTTTTTGAAACTGATGAATGAAGATTATTTCAATCCCTTAACGAACCATGCATTTAATGCGCCATACTTAAAATATCGTTTCACAGATATCATCATGATGATTCTTGGGAACCTAAATTTTTCTGTTACGTTTGAAAGATTTAAACGTGTTTGGTGAAGGATTTTTTTCCTTCTAAAACATAGTTTCTCTCAGAGGTATAAGTATCTTCTTCCCTTTTTTGAGTCTTCTTTTTCTATTTTGATGGTTTTACTATTTCCTCCTCATGTATTTCATTTTCTATAACTGCAAAATTAGTGCATTATGAATAAGAAATTGAATAAAAGTATCAATAAGTCTCAGAAGGATATTCTATCTTCTTGGATGGACCCTGTTTATTCTTCCATTACTTATGATTTCCCTGAATCAGGTGATATTGACGGTGCTTTTATAGAAGTTTGTACACCTTTTGTCTGGGGAACCGTAATCCCTTGTGAGGACAAGAAAACGACATATGACCCTTGTGTCCTTCCCTTTTATGAGTGTACCTTTTCCATCATGGGTCTTCATCTTCCTCTTACTTTTTTTGAGGTACATATTTTGAAGCATTTGTTCATGGATCCTTTGCAACTTCACTCTTCGTGCTGATATATATGAGATTATACTAGTGTTGGTGTGAGTATATGAAGGGAAAACCCTGTATGTTCCTTTTTCTTCAAGCCAATCATTCATGGTTTCAAACCTCTTTTGAAGCTTTGGTATTTTGAAGGTCAATTATTTATGGTGACCATTGTCAACCCAGAAGTTCATGCTACAATGTGTGATGTTGGTAATGGATTGAAGAGCAGATGTAATGATCTGTTTCCCAAATATTGGACTAAGGGCCACTTTTTGATAGGAAATAACTTTTTCCCATATAGCGAGAAGAAGCTTAGTATAAAAAAGGTTGATTATTGAAGTTCATCAATAATATATGAAATATAGGGGAGCTACCCGGTGACAAAAGCTAATAATAAACACTTAAAGCATCTCATTGACATCCTATTATTGATAAAGACTTATTCTCGAGAAGAGGGAATAAACATTTTTAGGAAGCTTCAATCTTTTTTAATTTTATGCTATTTTTACCTTGGATGCCTTTGATGTATACATTTTATTCATTATTATGCAGAGTGCACGGGTAATGAAGAATAGTTCCAGCTCCTAAGGTAGGGAGTATGACTAGTTAGAAGAAATGTCGCTTCAAAAACCCTATCGACTTCATCAAATTCCTCTAGTTGGTATGATTGCCCTTTACTGATAGGATCTGACTACCACTCTGTTGATGGTCGTCAACCTCCTTCTTTTGATGAGGATTGCACTTACTTTACTAGACTTTCCGAACCCATTCTAGAGGAAGAAATGGGCAACCTATCCAAGTATACTCGACACGCTTTAGCTGCTCTGGCTCTTGGTCCATCCGGTCGGTGGGAGGCTTTTTGGTCCGAATGGAATCACGCTGAGAATCAACATATGAAAGATAACATTCGCCACCTAAAGCTTCAATGGAACAAGTACCTGCGTGAAGGAAAGGAAGCTTCTACCTCTCTATCCAAGGTGAAGCATGCTTTCTTACTAGGTGGCTCAATTAGTTAGGATGTGGCGATGAAAGACCAAGCTTTATGTTTTGTTCAAAGTAGTACGGGGACCACTCACAAGGAAATATAGTTCTTGGATTCTCAAAATATTTTGTTATGGTGATGAACACTTACTTTCCTTAGTTAGTTTTTCAACTTAGATTTAGTAGATTTCGTAAACTCTATGTAATTGTCATGGTGATGAACACTTACTCTCCCCTTGAAACCTTGATCGTTATCAAGAGTTCCTCAACCCTAGTTAGCCGAACTACGGAGGCTCTGATTCTCCATTCCTAGTCAGCATACGTAGGCACAAAATGCGATATCTTGTCGAGCCCTCTAACAACTAACCACTAACTCCCTCATCTCATGCCGCCGCACGACCAAGACTAGTTTACCTTACTCTTTATCCTAGCCGTAGAATTGGATTCGCCACGCTCTATGTAAGTGTCATGGTGATGAAAACTTACTTTCTTTTAGTTAGTTTTTCAACTTAGACTTAGAGAGTTTGTTAACTCTATGTAAGTATCATGGTCATGAATACTTACTCCCCTTGGAACCTTAACCACAGTCAAGAGTTCCTCACCTTTAGTTAGGTGAACTACAAATGCTCTTATTCCATCCTAGTTAGGATACGTAGGCATGAGATGTGATGTCTTGGCGAGCATACTAGGTCTTTAGCTTAACACCAGTCCCCTTAGCAAGAAAATTCTAGCATAACATAAATACTAACAAAAGGTTCCTGTAGAGTACTACATAT